CAGAGAAAGTCTCTATTTCATTTGTAACCTTAGCCAGAGTAGTCATTTCATGGTGGGGAAAGGGGAAGCTGTAGGCTGTACCTCCAGGCTCCAGCAAATGTTTAGATAGGAAGAAAAATGAAATTTCTTTCCTAGGTCTGTACATGGCATTAAGGACTGTGGGTGGGGTGGAATGGGATGTGACTAAGTTTAAAAAATGTACTTTTTTTTTTTTTTTGGAACCATCACTAGTAAAAGACGAGGGAGGGGAATGAGGTTTTCTCTATAAACTATGTGGGTTTTTTTCTCTTAATTTCATGGAAACACCACTGCAAGTTTTTCCTTCTCGTTTCTCTGGTGACAAGAAAATAAAACAAATGCAGCTGGGTCGTGCTGCTCTCGCTGTATTGCACCACAAAGCCCCAAAGACACAGACTGTGYGTTTTAACTCTTTTCCCTCCCTACCCAGAGCTACAAAACTAAAGATGGCTTGAAATCTCCACAGAGATATCTTGGGATTATCCAGCATGTGCTCCAGACCACGGAGGCAGCAGCCACCACTCAGAGGTCCTGCCCTGCCAGGGAGCTGGAATGCAGTTGCTTYGCTATGCAAAGGTTCTTCTCCATGAGTCAACAAGTTTTGGGACTCAACCATCCCGACTGGCTGCCTGGAAAAAATRTGCTGCAAGAGGTGAAAGCATCAAAGAGCATGGATTGGGAAACTGGTAAAAGGGGAAGAAGTATTCTGGGAGAAAGGGTTTCAGCCCATCCTTTCCCCACTCTGTCCCTGCTCTCTGTCCACCCATTTTACATCAAGTTGTAGAATCTCCTGAACTGGGAGAGACTCACAGGGATCATCCAGTCCAACCCCTGGCCCTGCACASACACCCCAACAATTACGCTGGCCCTGAGAGCATTGTCCAAATGMTCCTGGAGCTCTGRCAGCCTTGGGGMCACTTCCCTGGRAAACTTGTTCAGTSCCCCAACACCCTCTGGGGGAAGAACCTTTTCCTGACATCCAACCTAAACCTGAATTTTTTTCTTGTTGTGTTCACATAATGATCTTACATTGGTGCTGCTTGGCACCTCTGGGAGAACCCTGGGCACTCTCCCTTTCCCTGGTATCAAAATGCCTGAGATGGCTCTGCCACCCCCTGTATAGCAAAGAGGAGACCCAGAAATGCTCTACTGGAAGCCCTGGGACTTTTGCCCTGCCAGGAGGGATCAGAAGAGGCTGAGCCACCATGGAAAAGCCGATTCTAGACAATGAGCTTAGACTGAGGAACTGAAGGCACAATATTTAYAAGTTCGTAATTACTGCCTTAATTACTCCAAAGACCCAAAGAAATTGTGCAGCTTGGCACAAAAGCCCTGGAGCGTCCCTGCTATTTCAAGCYAGTGTCCTCAAACCCATCTGGGAAGGGAAATCTCAAGCAGACGGGAGATAAATCTGGGAGCAAGGGTCTCCACACCAGTGGGGTCTAAACAACCATTTCAGAAGAATTGTTAGAACTCATGGAGAGCCAGGTTTTCTCATCACTGCATCTAAACATTAGTGCAGAGTCTCTGGGTTATCTTCATCCTCTCTGAGGATCTTGAGCTCTAACAAAAAAAYATAAGGTCATAGATACAGGCCTGTGCCTGGCAGAGCTTCAAAAGCACTGTAGGTTGGGAAAACCTTGAGGCTGTTTAAAATAAAATTCTAGAGACTCCAAACAGTCCTTCCACATGTGTTAGCAAACAACAATTTGCAAGCACGCAAATGCTGTGTGGAAAAACTGGGTGCTAAGTAAATAAGAGCTGCAAGAGCACAGGGGACTTAAAAGTTAGCACTGGGATGTTAAAATAGGAAAAAGTATGCAAAACCTCAGATTGCACTTGTGTGTTCATGAGGACTCTCTAAACATCCTGGAGCAGTTGGCTCTAATGGCCTAAATCCCAGGAAATGCTGCTAAAATATGGTATCTAATTAACATTTGCTTTTTTTCTTCAGAAAGTTCCCCTTTGTGCCTCATCTTACTGCAATTTGAGAATGTCAGACTCAGTGGGGGCTGCTGCTCACATGCAAGAGCTGGGTTAATCTGGGTTAATGTTCTCTTTTTTTCAAATATACATACGTTTCTTTAATATATGATGTCTTCTCCTGGGCAAGATCTGCCAGAGGTACTGAGTCTGTTTTGGGAGGACGGTCCAGCTCAGGGGATGTTGTTGTAAGGCCCTGCTGGAGACCACCTGACAAAGAAGAGGAGGTGGATGGAGYTTACTTCAGGCACTTGGAGAAATCATTAGAGCCACAGGGAAAGCAGCATAGCTGGGCATGAGCAGCACAAGAACGGCTTGAAGGAATACAAACACATTGTATGAATTGAGTTAGGAAGACACAACCCTGGAAGTGTCCAAGGCCAGGCTGGACAAGGCTTGGAGCAACCTGATCTAGTGGAAGGTGTCCCTGACCAAGGCAGTGGGTTGGAACTGGATGAGCTTTAAGGTCCCTTCCAACCCAAAGCATTCCTTGGTTCTGTGAACAGGAAGCAAGAATTTCAAAAATGGCAACTACGAAAGACTGCAAAATCCATTCTTCTGTTTGTCATCAGTGCAAATACTGAGAATATCAACTGCATACTTACAAAGAGTGGAAAACCAGCATCCATTGTTTTCAGTAAGCATTTAACAATCTTGGCCTTGGTTTTGGTTCTCTGCTCGCAGTTGGAAAAAAAGACCCTTGGAGACCACTGCATAACATCAGCACTGCATGAAGGTTGAAGGCAATTGCAGACAGACACAAAACAACTACAGTAGCTGCTTTCCAGAGAACCCATAAAGTTGTTCASATGTACACATGAGGTTTAAAACGAGGAGTTCACATTTTATGGGGGGCTACAAGTCAGATAAAAAAAAAAAAGGAACAGATACACAGTTTATAAAGGAACAACTAAACAAACCATAAAATGTATTTCAGTTTACAAGGGGATGTAAATGAACTAGTAGCCATCTGTGCCTTACTTCCAATTCTATAGAGTTTTAGAGGAGAGCAAATAAGCATTTTTCTTTCTTTCCATGATTCATCTTACTTMCTTTTCCCTCTCTCCATTTCAAGTATAAGTATCTGTTCAGGACAGTGTGTTCTGTGAGCTGCAATAATGATTTGCAGGTCAGATAGAATCATTAAAATCATAGAATCATTATGATCAGAAAAGAGCTCCAAGATCACCAAGTTCAACATAGAGGGTAGGCAAATAATCCATATCCATGCACATTCTCTGCAAAAAAATCTTCCCAGGAAATCTGCAGTTCCACTGAAAGGAGGAAGAAAGAAAGGGAATTTATTTGAGGATTRGGAGAAGGAGCTAACTAGAGCACGCCCAGAGCTTCCTATGTCCTCAGCCTATTCTTAAGGAAAAAAACCCTCAGAGAACTAGCTCAGGCTTTTGACATCACTTATAAAAGAAGATGTGGAAAAAAACCTTACGCAGGAAAAAAAAAAGCAGCAGGATGTTTTGAGGTTATTTTGTCCCAGTTTCTACCRCTTCAGTGTGCCTGTGTGTCAGACTGCCCCAACATAAGACAAGAACTGGTCAGATGTGCAAATATCATGCAAATGGATGCCTAGGTAGGTGAGAAACACCAAATTTGCCCTTTTTTAGGGAGGGAAAGTGCACAGTAGGGAGATGTTCTGTAAAATACACAGGAATCCTCACAGGGACAAGGCATTATGTCACRTCAAGCTGCAAGGAAAGATTTTGATTTGACATGAGAAAGTTCAAGAAGCCTGCATAGAAAGATAAATGCAGATTCTGTGCTCAAGAAACTGCCCAGTCTGGGAGGAGGAAGAGGGAGATGCAGAGGTGTGGGTCTGTGCTCTGCTTATTTCCACATTTGGGTACTCAGCAGCTCTGTAAGTGACAGATTTGGTGTCCAGTTATTTGTGATAAGACTTTTTGCTGGAGGAACAGCCTCTGCAGGGGCAGGTTCACCGAGAAACAGCTGCATCAAATGGATTAGAAGCAGCATTGATGGTTAAACATGGATATAACAGAGCTTGGACACAGCACAGCAGGCAAAACCAATGGTCTGGGATGTGACGGGTTCACTGGACCACTGGCAGGTGGATGGCTTGCTCAGACACTCAGGTGCTGTCTGGTAAATCATTGCCATCAAAAGCTGGGTCCCTCCTTTCCAATAAAGATGCTCCAGAAGAAAAGGGACCRACCCATTCAGAGCTGCAGGAGAATCCCTGGAAAGCAGTAGCCTCACAAAATCCTYCTTTTCCTCTTCAAAACAAAGCTATAGCTCAAGAAGAGAATTACAGTTCAAGGAGCTGTGTTCCTGAAAGTCACTGATGCTCTTCATAATTTTTTTTGGGACATTTGCCCCTGTTTTTCTTCTAGCAGAGCTAAAAATAGCTCATGAATTTAAAAGTAATTTAAGAAATACAACAACAACAAAACCCTAGAGCTCAAGGACTGTTTGAAAAATGCTCTCAGGCACAATGTGTGATTTTTGGTATTGTTCTGTGCAAGGCCAGGAGCTGGACTCGATGATCCTTGTGGGCCCCTTCCAACTTGGGATACTCCATGATTCCATGATTCTATGAACCCAAACCCAGAAATGAACCAATAGAAACAGGTAATACTCAGACTTGGCTGACTCTGAGCAAGACTTGGATATTTGCAAAGGCAGTGATTCTGTGATTCTGTGCAAGCTGCTCATTTTTGAAATGTTCCTGTTTTCATTTGTTCCACTCAGGACACGTTACTAGGATGGAAAGAGGACGGCAGGGGGAAGAATGAGAAACACTATTTGATGGTAAAAATAAAGATGTGGGGCAGCAATGCCAACCACAAAAAAGGGCCTCTCATCATGGAAAAATGAGACTTCTTCCAGTTCGTGACAAAAGATGCCTTCAGCTCCAGAAGGGACAACCTCGCCCCATCCCAGCCCGCGCCGCGTGGGAGCGGATGGGAGGGGACCCTGCCAGGTCTCGGTAGACCCACAGTGACTCTCCGTGGATGTTCAGAGCTACTGCAAACGAGACTCTGCCCGGTTTTGGAGGAGGAGGAACTCAGAGGGCAGTTCCAGACGGCCGGGGAATAGCGGGACCGGGCWGGAGACGCCTCCGCTGCTCCTCCCGCTCCCTCATCCCGCACATCCCAGCACCCAGAGCCCGGAGCCACGCTCCAGCCGGGAATGCGGGAGCCTTCCTGACACCGGCMACTCCACAAAGTCCTTTTTCCTTACGTTGCGGAGGGATTTGGGGGAGAAGTTTTGATGACCTCATTTTCCAGGTAGGTAGACCATTTCCCTCCTAGTCCAGGGGTTCTGTGGCTACTTACTGACGGATCTCCAGCCGGGGGTAACAGAAATCCTTCGGAAATTTCAGCCTGTGCCTGCTGCTGCTTATGGGCTTCCCTGCGAGGTATCTACTGTACGTTTAGACAGTACCTGCTATAAGAGAATATAAATTTTTCCTTTACTTTCAGCTCTTGGCTAGTTTGGGCGTTTTCCTACGGGTTTGGATTTTTTTTCCCAAGTGTGAGTGGGCCACAAAGTGCTGGGGCCAGAGGTCTAGAAAATGCCTCAGTGAAGGAGAATAGAAGTCTTCCCTGGGATAACTGAGCTGAGTTCAGCAGCTACAGTRAAGTGATGGCAGCAGGGAGAGAACTGATCTGCTGTGTGATTGCCCTTTGATTTTTGGGATTTCAGAAGACACTAATTAGACTCACCTGTGGCCCTTGTCTCCTGTTTCTGCTGAATTACAGCAGCACAAGCTTGTCTATTTTGGGAGGTGGCAGCACATTTAGGAATGCCTGTGAATTCATTGCACTTGGTGGCAGGGCTTTGCTCCCCCGGCCTTTTCCTGGCTGAAATTCCAGGATAATTACATTGGGAGACCTGGAGAAGACCTGGAGTCCTGTAGCTGAAACCTTCCCCGTGGGTCCTCTGCCCCGGGATTAGAATTACAAGGCACGTTTCGGTAGTGGCTGCAATGAGCACCGAAATTCCCTCCTCATGCAGTGTGTAAACCACAGGCACACAAATGGGAAGGAAGAGGAGGTGCATTTACAAGAGTTTTGTTCCAAATGGGACATATTTTTCTTTTCTAGTTTCACTTATCAAATATTTATGTGGAGAAAATGCTGTATGCACAAGTGAGTGGCACCACAGGCATTGCCTACTGGGCATGGCCATGGAAAATGCTGGGACTGAGCAGCAGGGAGGCTTCAAACTTTATTCTGAATTTTTTAGCATAGCTGGAATAATTCTCCTTTCTTGAAAGCAATGCCATTTGTGTGGCTTTATATTTGTGTGGCTTTAAATAAGCTTCTTGCAGGCAGTGCTAGTGTAGAGAGCAGAGAATCTCAATTTTTGCAAATTTGGGAACAATTTGCTCAGTTACAATGTGTGTTCTGGTGTTGGAGGAGAAACACACAGTGCATTAGGGGGAACTTCAGGAATATCAGTGKGTGGGAAAAGGCAGACCATGGCTCTGCCTGGCCAGGTGCAGGAGGTGACACTTCTACTGCGTTGGGACCTGTTCTAAGTGATAATCAGATGTGAGAGTGCAAATAACCAGATACAATTTGCACATTTGAGTTACTGCAAGTAATTTGTTTGCCATGGTACCMCTTTTGGTTCAGTTGCTCATGGTGGGAAGAGAAGGAAGCAGAMAACTTGGGCCCTCCGCAAGGCCACTCATTTTGCAGGGTTCTATCTCGATGAATCCATTTATTTTTCAGCTGTGTGTGTAACAGCCAGGTCTCCTGGGATCTCAATGTGGGATCAGCAAAAACCATGCATGTTTCTGCACCTGCAGTAGGAGCACAGATTAATTCAGGGAGAATGGTGCAAAACAGTGCCCTCAAAATCTGTTCAGAGGACCCCCTGCTTGAGATTCCCTGTTTTTTTTTCCTTTGTGTGCATCTCATGGGTAAAGAGGTGAACCACTCAAAAATACAAATACTGAGGGAAGGCCTCATAGGAACAACAGTCCTGCTCCAGCAGAAAGAGAAAAGTCAAGGAAGAACAGAGTGGGCAGACCCAAGTGTTCAGACATTATGAATCAGCTCCCAGTTTGCTCTTTGCATTAGTTTTTTGAACTGTTTGTGTTCAAAAATTACATTCAACATGCAAAAAATAGTTAGTTTTAAATACTAACAAAATCTGAGGTTTCCATCTCAGCATCTTGTAGCAGCAGGTGGAACTTTAAATCAAATACCAAATGTTATGGGATTTGCAACAGCATCACAACAGCTGGTGGTGCTCTGAGTATGACAAAATGGGCACCATCGTTCACCCCAGCCTTGGAGACCCCTGAGGTGGGGACTGGAGTTCCCAGCAGCTGTCCCATGTGTCTCCAGGGGGGTTAATAGAAGGCGGGATGCTGGCAGAGCAGAAGTAGTTCAGGGTGCAGAGTGGGATAGAGGAGACGATGCAAGAGGACCCCAGGGAAGTGAGTTGTGTTTTCAGGTGTGGCTTTCCTGCCTCGCGTTCTGCCCACGGACAGCCCGAGGTTGTGGTGCTTCACTGACCCAGTTCCAAGCCCCGAGGACTGCAGGCAGGAGCCACCCTTTGCCAGAGCCCTCTGCTCTACAGTGCCTTCCCACCCACACACAGAGGGAAAGAACGAAGGAGGGAGGGAGGTGGGTTAACTCGGGATGCAGTGATGAGTCAGACACTTGGCCAAAGCCCTCARCGTTCCCAGCCTCTCCAAAAGTTAATGTCTCCGTCCTCCTCAGCTAAAAGCTGGCTCTAAAATGGTGCTGTCTGAAGGCATGAAGCTGTTATGTCCTACAAAAGATCAGGATCTCCTGCAGCCCTTGTTTATGGAGGGCAAACGAAACAAGGAATGCCTGCAGTAGGGCTAGAGGGGTGAAGCCTTGATCTTAACCACCCCTTTAGCATTAAAGTATTTATCCTTAGCATACCACTTTTATTCTCTGCAGCACAATGGAAGTTGAGCCACAACGACTGATGCAGGGACTTCATAGAACCATGGATTGGTTTGGCCTGGAAGAGACCTGTAAGACCATCCCATTCCACCYCCTGCCATGGACAGGGACACCTTCCACTAGACCAGATTTCCCCAAGCCCCATCCAACCTGGCCTTGGACATTTCCAGAGATGGGRCAGYCACAGCTTCTCTGGGCAACCTRTATCAGGGCCTCAYCACCCTCACTGGGAAGAATTTCTCCCCAAAATCCCATCTAAAYCTGCTCTCTGTCAATGTGAAGCCACTACCCCTTGTYCAGATCCTTGTGCAAGGAGCATTGGCTGGCTTTGTGTCATCCCAGCACTGAGGAGATTGTGCATCATGTTTAACATGTAAYTTGTGTTTTCCCACAGGCATCTGAATATCCTGAGGGGCCACTGAGATGTTCCAGCAGGCCTTGTTTCCCACTCTCCTTTGTATGGCATTAGTTCCTTTCCACGCCGCTCAGCTTGATGTGGATACTGGAGATGTCAGTCCTACCTCCTGTGCAGGTATTAACCAAATAATTTGGGTCACCTCTGTGGGCAGCAATTTTAACAAAAACAATGCCCAGCTGTGAAACCTGCTTGCCAGTAACTGACAGTGAGACATTGCACCTCCCCTGGCCCTTTGCACTCCTGTGGTAACAATCCATCTGTAGGGARCACTGTCCTTCACCCAAACTCACGTTTCTGAGTTTGCTTTGGCGTGCAGAGAGGTGGAGATGGAAGAGGTGGGGTCTGYCTGTGCTGGTCTCTCCCAGCAGGTGCAGTAACAAACACCAGTCAGTCTCCAGCACTCAGCTCTCTATCTGATGCCATAAATCGTTCACTTTAAATCTGGTGGTTTCCTCACTTTTCAGTTGCAAWGCAGAGGTGATTTACGTGTYCAGCCTGACTRTTACCAAAAAAAGCGACRTTTTCAAGATTGATTSAATACTGAGCAGTGCTGKATTAATGGTTGGACTTGATGACCTTAGAGGTCTTTCYCASCCTTAATTATTCTATGATTCTATAGCATATCTTAGGATTTAKAAGTCCTGGTCACTGGGAACCATCTGACCCAAACACAGGTGTCAYTTCTAGAGCAAGGTGGGACTTGTGCTTTTTCCAGCATCACACTTGGTCCGGGTTTCTGGGGGACAGCAAAGGGGTGCATGGAGTGCTCTGACGTGGTCTGAATCACTGTGTCCGTACAGAAAAGAGGAACTGTCCCATCAATGTCTACTTCATCATCGACACCTCRGAGAGCGTGGCTCTGCAGACTGTGCCCATCCAGAGCCTCGTGGACCAAATCAAGCGGTTCATCCCCATATTCATCGATAAACTGGAGAGCGAGCTCTACCAGAACCAAGTCTACATCACCTGGCAGTTTGGTGGTCTCCATTACTCAGATGTGGTAGAAATTTACAGCCCTTTGACGAGCAGCAAAGACATTTACCTGCCCAGGCTGTCAGCCATCCAGTACCTGGGCCGGGGCACCTTCACRGACTGTGCCATCTCCAACATGACCCAGCAGATCCAGACCCAGATGGCCAACGGYGTGAACTTCGCGGTGGTCATCACCGATGGCCACGTGACGGGCAGCCCCTGCGGGGGCATGAAGGTGCAGGCTGAGAAGGCGCGAGACATGGGCATCAAGCTGTTCGCTGTGGCCCCCAGCGAGAAGGTGTACGAGCAGGGCCTGCGGGAGATCGCCAACCTGCCGCACGAGCTGTACCGCAACAACTACGCCATCACCCAGAGRGACACCCTGGAGATCGATGTCAACACCATTGACAGGATCATCCAGGCCATGGTAGGTGCAGGCAGGGGAACGAGGGGCACGCGAGAGCATCGCATGGGGGAATGCTTCCCCCTGCGTGGGGTTTTGGAGATAACCTCTRGCAGGGAAAGTGGAGCCTTTCACTGGCACTTAGCCAGGACTCCTTGGATTGTACCTGTGTTTCCCAGCATGTCTGGTCAGGCTGACACTCTAGTCCTGGCTCCTGCTGAACACCAGGCCACACCTCTGGGGCATGTAAAAGAGTGTGCCACGCTGAGAGCCTACCTGTGAGGCACTGTTAGTCAGGGGCTCTGCTCAGAGCCTCCTCACAGCCACAGAATTTTCCCACCTCCTCTCCCTTACCACCAAATACCCYTCCAAGGGTGGGCTGCGGTCTCCCTCATGGGTCTGAGTACCTTTACTGATTCTCTTCCTTCTGTTCTCTCCTTTGCAGAAACACGAAGCCTACGGTGAGGTGAGTGAGCAGCATCTTCATGCCATTACCACAGGAAGCAGGTTTAGGTTGCTTCACTTAGAGAAGAGCAGCTCACAGCCCAGAACGGTGGGGACCTGTCATGGGATGGRTCCCTGCCCACCTGCGGGTCAGGGCAGAGTCTGGGGATGCCTTACCCAGGGGTTATGATGGCACACTGGACCCACTGGCTGCTCCCCCTCTCCTGCAGTGGGTTCAGGTCTGTGGGACAGACTCCATTTCATCACCTCAGGGGTTCAGTCCATGAGTAATGCCCCTGCTGAAGCTCCTGCCCTGGTGGTATGCAGGATTTGGCATACAGAGTGAGGAGTACCCAGGGGATGCTCCAAAGGTCCCCTGATGACCCCAAAGAAGCAAGTCCCCACCATCTCTGACACCCAGCAGTCTTGTTCTTCCAGTCTGGGCCAAGATACAAGCTGTAATGAACATGCTCATGGCAACTTTCTACGCTTAATTTATGGGCAGCACTTCTCTGTGTGCTTGTTGCTGTCTYAACCCTGACCCAGCTGGAGCCACAGCAGATTCTAGCCCTGAGTTGATGGGGAGAGGCGTGGAGAGCCGTGGGTGCAGAGCTGAGCCGAGTTTGGGATGCACRCTGTCAGTACCTTACAGTAATTTCTGTATTTCTTGTATTTCAGTGCTACAAGTTGAGCTGCCTGGAGATTGCAGGTCCACCTGGTCCCAAGGGATACCGAGGGCAGAAGGTAAGTTGCTCTAAGCTATGGGGAAGACAGTAATGCCTGCCACAACCACTGCACGATGCCTGAGACCCGGCCTCAGCTGCCTTCTCAGGTAGCACCCAGGTGGGAAATGCTCCCCCAGCATCTGTCTTGGCCTTGGAAGACACTGCCAGCAGTGGTGTGCCCATGTCTGTGTCGAAGCTGATGCACCCGAGCATCTGCCAGGCACCTCCAGCACTGAGGACACCAGGAYTCAGCAGTTGTCACTGAGTCACCCACATTTAGAGCAGAGTTCTCMTAGGGTGTCCCACTCTCCTGCCCCYACTCTGTGTGCTCTRATYTCCCAGAAATGGCYGTCAGCACCAAGCCTGGACTTATAYTGGGTTTTTTCTTTCCTTAGGGTGCAAAGGGGAATATGGGTGAGCCAGGCTCCCCTGGGCTGAAGGGACGACAGGTGAGTGGTGGAAAATCCTCCCCTCCATTTCCTACACCTCTGGTGATCTCAAGCTAATTCTCGGTGCTTTCCTCCCCGAAGGGTGACCCGGGTATTGAAGGTCCGATCGGATACCCTGGTCCTAAGGTAAGGATTCCATAGCCGATGGCTGATCTCTTTGCATTCCCTGATTTTTTTGTAAAGCAAGGGGAGCTTTGCTTTTCCTTCTCATTTGCCCATTTCCCACCTCAGACCCCTGCGCTCCTGCTGATTGCCCAGATACTAACACAGCGATTTTCTTTATTTTTATTTCTTTGTCTAGGGTGTCCCAGGGCTGAAAGGAGAGAAGGTGAGCAAGAAGAGACGGGATGGCTGGCTGGGCACTTGGCAGGGGCYGCGCTCCTTTCTGATGCACAGAGGGAGACATTAGCTGCAATGGGGAAGGATGGCAACCCTATTAACGCATAAATGTGGACCATCCTAAAGCCTGCCTCCTCCTTCAGGCTTTGATCACGGTCTGGTAAAGCGGTAATGGGTTTAAGATGTAAATGGTGGGGGCGAGGGGGAGGTGGGGAGCAGATGCGGGTGGTGTCTGACTTCCTGTCCTCTTTTTCTCCCAGGGAGAAATTGGATCCGACGGACGGAGGGTAAGAAAGGACATTTTCTAACTCGCACGTTGTTCCAGCTACCAGCCCTCGGATTGCGTGTTAATAGATCCCTCCTCTTATTTTTTTCCCATGATCCAAGGGTGCCCCTGGCTTGGCGGGAAGGAACGGCACAGATGGACAGAAGGTAACTGGGAACGCCCCGTAATGTTGCAGTGGCCGCTGTTGCATTTCTTTACCCTCCCTCATCCCCGCAGGCCGTTTAGTTTCACTATCCCACATGCTGGCTTTCTGTTCCGATTGGGATTTCTATGAATTTATCTGTGCGTTATTCCTCATGTCCTGTAGAAATACATGAAGCAGTTGAGGTCTCAGGAGTGAATCACAGAATATGCTGAGTTGGGAKGAACGCACWAGGATTGAGTCCAACTCACACAGGACACCCCAACAATCCCACCCTGTGCCTGAGAGCCTTATCCAAACACTCCTTGATCTTGGGCAGGGTTGGGGTTGTGACCACTTCCCTGGGGAGCCTGTCCAGTGCCCAGCCACSCTCTGGGGGAAGARCCTTTTCCTGATGTCCAGCCTAAACCCCYCTGACACAGCTTCATGCCCTTACTGGCATCCCTCTGTCAGCAAGCTCTCTGCAGGAGCTGGATGTATGACTCAGTCCATGTTCCTGCGGAGAAGGTGATATGGCCAGATAATTTGAGTGTAGATGCTTTATCTTGAGTGTCAGTGAGCCTTATAGGACACAGACACAGAAAGTTTAGCAGAAATTCGGGTTTCAGGGCAGTTTGTCACAGARTCTGAAACTTCATCTCTGAACCACTGCTTGTGCTTAGTATGAAAGCTCTAAAGCCAAGTTCAAAGGCCTCACAACAAAGTCCCTGGCTTTGTCCGCTGGCCAGCATGACCTGGCTTTCACAGTTTCCTGTACCCAGCCCCATATATTGGTGGATAACAGCAGTTCTTCCTGCTCTTCCAAGTGCTGTTAAAGCTCTAAAACATCCTTCAGTCCCCCCAGTTCTCTAAAACACTAAAGTCTTTGGTTCCTCCAGTCTCTATCCCAGAGCTGTCTCGCCCTGGTGACAGAGCTGTTTTGGGGCACAGAGCAGGGCAGTCTCTTCTCTCGCGGCATCTGTCAGGCAGAGTGAAAGCATCCCTGAGCTGCTCTGACAGGAGAGGTGTGAGAGAGGAGCAGCACAGCCCTGGACGTGAGTGACCGCCAAATCCAGCCTCAAGGGACATTCCCAGCACTCAGGGTACATTCATGGGATACGCCTGCCTGATTTCCCTCTGCCACTCAGGATTTTAGACTGTTTTCTCCTTCTCCACTTGTCTCTGCAYACCCTACTCCTGTTTAAGGAACATACTTGCTATTTGTTTGCTAGCTGGCGACAGATAAGGTCAGTGGATGATGCTGAAAATTATTAACTGTTTAGTAATTTTAAGTTATTAAACTTAAATAACTTTAAGAAGTTAGAAAGTTCTTAAATTTTTTAACTTTAAGAAAAGCAAGAAAAAGCTGTGTTTTCCCTTCAGACACCTATAACTTCTCAAAYTTTTCCTTTTGAATGTAATCTCTCTAGGGCAGGCTGGGGAGGATTGGACCACCAGGATGCAAGGGTGACCCTGGTGACAAGGTAGGAATGCTTTATTCTTTCACCAGCACATCAGCTATGTAGCTGCTGAGTGAGTTACACGTGTAGAAAGATGGCCAACAAGAGGTTACTAGACCATTTTCCTACCAGCTGTATAATCTGATCCCTGGCCTGGGACCCAAGGAAGGGGGAGCACAGTTTGGTTTTTCTGTGCCTCCTTTCCACAGGCAAGTAAGCTGGGAGTTCCTAAAACCCCGCCCCTCCACCCAGAGGGGAGGAGTTTACCTTTCATCAACACTAGCAACGATCAAAAATTACTTCATCGTCTAGAGCAACTTTCTAAGCACTGGCTTAGAAGTTTTATTTGATTAGAAAGTTTTATTGGATTTATTCTGCATGGAGAGCGTTCCCAGTGTGAAGTGCGTGGCTCTTTGTCATTTCCATCCCCAGGGCCCTGATGGCTACCCAGGAGATGCAGGAGACCAAGGTGAAAGAGGAGATGCAGGCATAAAGGTACAAGTGCTCTGGAGAGGCAGCAGGGTGTGGGCAGAGGCCTCCAGTGTAGACAGCCAAACACCATTCGCTGTACCTGTAATATATCCTAAACCCTACACTGCTTATGGAGCCCATAGGCTTTGGGGTCTTGATTCCCTCTCCAGACTCAGAAGCTGAGGGAAGACCCTTGCTGGCCTTACTCCCTGGGCTACTTATGGTGCAATGTGCTCACGAGGCAGGCAATGACCATTGGCTCTCTGGCTGTTTCAGGGGGATCCTGGCCGGCCTGGTCGCAGCGGACCCCCGGGACCCCCAGGAGAAAAAGGAAACCTGGTARGTTAATGCAGCGTTCAGGTATCTCCAGTGTTTTACTGTGGTCTGTTCCTAAAATAACAGAATGGTTTGGGCTGRRAGGGACCTTAAAGCTCATCCAGCCCCACCCCTGCAAGAGAYACCTTCCACTAGACCAGGTTGCTCCAAGCTCTGYCCAGCCTGGCCTGGAACACTTCCAGGGATGGGGCAGCCACAGCCCCTCTGGCTTTGGGCAGGACTGGATGGATGCTGTAAGGAACGGTGGACAAACCTGTTGTCAGCTGATGAAGGGAAGGTGACACAGGGTCACTATGCTCCAAAGCTCATGGCAGTGCCATGTGGGCATGTCAGCTGTGTGGAAGCAGAAGCTGGGTGCTCATACACACCTCTGCTCAAGGGGAACTGCTTGACACAGGACACCTTTGACCTCTCTTCCAACAAACTGTATTTCTTTTCTTCAAGGGACTTCCAGGCAACCCTGGAGCTCAAGGGCCTGCTGGAACCAAGGGAAGRAAAGGTGAAGTGGGACCTCCTGGACCTAAAGGAGAGGCTGTAAGTGTCTGAATAGATCCCTGGACATTGGTCACACTGCAGGAACCTGAGGCAGTTTCATGGATGAGTGCTGAGAAACTCCCCCATTCTGCTTTGTGAATCCCAAAAGATGTGCAAACGCTGATCTCCCTGACTCTCCCATCCTCACAGAGCAATGCTCCTGTAATCCTAAGGCTGATGTTAACCATTTCACCTTAGAGAATCAGCCTGTGTTCCCACATAACCACACAGGTCTGGCCTCTGTGGATGCCCAGGGACACTTTGGTTGTACTGTGGCAGGTTCCCCAAACTTCTGGCTCCTTGCAGGAGCTCTAAGAGTGGAGTTCTGGTGGCCATTATGGCAGAACTCTGTGGAAAGGGCAGTCTCACATATTGGTGGTGCCACACCATTTTGGGAAGGAGTTGAAGACGATGATCCCTGGCACAGCTCCACCAGCACCAATGGGCCAGAGCCTGGCCAGCTTGTGTCCTTGTGCAAGATCCAGTGGAGAAAGCAGCACTGGATGAGCTGGAAGTGAATCAGAGTCTTTAAGGGGATGAGCCAGGCATGTTTGTGGTCGCTGAGGTGAAAGAGCAGTCTGGCTGAGGCTTCCCAAAAGGAAGCMTGGGCATCCCTGCTCCCCTGCTGCCAGGAACACAGTTGCTTAGGGGGCACATGTACATCTCCTGGGCCCAGAGGGAGGAGGGAGTGCAGCCAGGGGTCCCATCCATCTTCTTACCCCATTTCTGTGACTTCTGTGTCTGCCAAGGGCCGACGTGGAGATCCAGGGACRAAAGGCAGCAAAGGCTCTCCTGGAGGCATAGGAGAAAGGGTGAGTAAAGGAACTGCTCAGATGATTGCAAATGAGCCTGAGATGGACAGGACTGGTGTGTGTGAGATGTGCTACTGCCCAGCCATGCCATGTCCAGCACCAGAGCTGGGAATTTCTCCTGTGCTGTGCTCTCACTGTGCCCACTGCCTCTCCGGCTGGCACTAAGTACAGCCTCCTCCTCCAGGGCTTGGCCCAGAGAGAGGATGAAGGGCAGCAAAGCTCAGGGTTAAAGAGACTCATTCAGAGGCACTGTTTCAAACCAAGAAACACCAGGTTTGAGAAGGGCCTCATGGAGCACTGCCATGCATGTAGATAGCATTGGAGACATCCCTGACCAGGAATATCTTTACCYTCCTCACAGGGAGATCCTGGTCCAGAGGGTGCTCGAGGTCTGCCCGGTGAGGTTGGAAACAAAGGAGCCAGGGTAAGCATGGAGCAAGGCTTGGTGACAGCCTGGGGGAAGGGGGAGTGCTGCTGCCATCTGGGTCAGCTTGCCCAGCTTTTCTCCTCATACTCTGTGTGTTCTGTGTCTTCTTTGTTTGCTGTRCAGGGAGAACAAGGACTGCCAGGACCCCGAGGTCCTTCGGGTGCTGTGGGAGAGCCAGGCAGGATCGTAAGTCACCCCTAGGCATGTGTGTGACCATGCCCTCCTTCTGTGATGCGGGCTTGCCCTGCTGACAAAAGCTGCCTGCACTGTCCCTCCTGAGGAGAACCTGCACGGCCCTTTCTGAGGGAGGCTCAAACATTGGGTGTTCCAATGACAGTGTGGAAGGGATCACCAGAGCGGGTGGGTCACTGGGGAGAGGGAAGATGGACCCCACAAGGACCCATTTGTCCTGGGTCTGTGCTTAGTCCATCACCCCACTGTGGCAGTAGTGCTGTGACATCCACATGGCTCTATGGGCRATGGAAACTCCACTGCTGAGACAGTCACTGTCACGGTGAACTCACCGGGTAGGGAGATGGTCCTGCAGCACCATCTCCAGAGCTGATTTCTCCTGCACAGTCCCCTGTGTGCCAGGGGGACAGCAGGGAACATCCTCAGCCCCTTCCTGCCTTTCCCCAAAACTGTCCTGCAGGGATCACGAGGAGACCCTGGTGACTTGGGCCCAAGAGGTGATGCTGGACCACCAGGACCAAAGGTAAAGTTTATGAATTAAACTCTGCATTTGAAAGATTCCTATTTACTTATTTATTTATTTACTGAAAAAAGAAATAGGCCATTTTCTATGTGCCTCAGAAACAGAATCAGACCTGGGCCTTCCTGCGGGGCAGAGATGTAGGTCTTGCTCGAGCCAAGGCAGCTCTGATTGCACCCCTCACCATGTGCAGATTCAGGGGCATGCCTGGCATGTGACATTCCCAAGACCCAGCAAATCCTTGCTCTGTACAGCCATCCCAGTACTTCAGAGCCTTGGCTGCCAGTGGAGTTTCACACCGAGCAAAGATGGAAATGGCTGTAGCTGTCACTGACAGGAGCAGGGCAGAAGGGCTGGCTTTGGTATCTCACAGGTCTTTTTTTTTCTGCCACAGGGTGACAGAGGCAGACCTGGCTTTAGCTACCCTGGACCCAGAGGACCTCAGGTATGTATTCCTCATTCAGCATGTGGGGAAATCTGTTTGGGTGTATGTTGCTCTTGGCTCTGAGCAGCCTGAGAAAACAGGGAAGGAGGAAGAAAAATACTCAGGGTCACAGGTGTGTGGAGCCTGTGAAGGAGAAAGGGGGTTGAACACCAGGACTGAACCTGGCCACAATCCAGAATGTGCCTCAGTCATGGTGATGGTCGTTCAACCATCAGCCTGAAGCTGCTCTTCAGCTTCTTGCCCCTCACCACGATCTTTGGGTATACTTGTGCACAGTTTGGGGACACCTGGACGGGTGCTGACCTCTCCCTCCTCTCCTTTGCAGGGTGACAAGGGTGAGAAGGGGCAGCCAGGACCCAAGGTGAGTGTGTTTGTCTCTATCAAGTGTTTTTTTGTACTGGCATTCCAGGGAGTTGTCTCCCAGCCCTCTGGGTTAATGGCTGAGGAGCCAGCCCTGCCAGCAGCTGCCCTGGAAGTTCCCTGCAGCTGGAGCCTGGTTGTATCTCCCAAGCCCATCTTCTTTTGAAATCATCTGAAAAAAACGCCTTGCAGAGCTCCTTTTTTTTT